AGCGAGGGGGGCCATGCACCTAGATCCCGACAGACCAGGAGCCTCCAGCTGACACCTGTGCTACACGTCGTCCCCAAGCCGCAGAAGCTACTCACAGCATCGCCAGACAGCCCACGGGTGAACGCATGTGCGCGCACGCTTGCTCACTCTCGCTCTCCACCCCCGCCCCCAGGCCTTCCCTAGGACCACAACTGCCGAGGCTTTGCGGGCCGAGGTGAGTTTGCAGAGCGCGTGGCAACACCTGTACCTGAGGAAAAGGGCTGGAGAACGGGGAACAGTAAAGCGGTGGAGCTCCTGTGGCCCAGAAGATAAACCCTGGTGGAACCCAAGTAGGGGGGCAGCTGTGTTTCTGAAGCACAAATACGCCGCGACAAAAACTAGAGCTTGAGGATGATGGTGCGTGTTGCGGGGGGCGGGGAGGGCACAAGCAAGAAGCTCGCGGGCCAGCCAGGGGCCCCTGAGGTGGAGGGCAAGGCCGGGGCTGGGCAGGAGGTGGCCTGAGAAGGAGAAAGGGGGCGACTCCAGAAATGAGGCAGAGCGCCGCCCGCGGCAAGGGCCCAGGAGGGAGGGCTTTGGACCATGTTCCCGGGATCACCATCAGCACGCCCCAAACCCCTCCAGGAAAAATGAAATAAAATAATAACCTAGCTTTCTTTGTTAAGGACAATCGACATTCGCTCTCTCTTCTCTATGTGGAATTACAAGGGGCTGTGAAAAAAGGCTAACTGCCTTATTCTGTGACACAGAGAGCAAGCAGCAACACTGCCCTGCTCTGCTCCCTCTCCGGCTTCCGCCTCGGCCCCTGCCACCAGCGGCACCGGGCGGTGGCCCTCCAACCTGGGCGCCTCTCAGAGCCACCGGCGGAACGCACGAATACACAGGCTGCGGGAACCCCCTGCCCCCACACCCACCCGCCAGAGATCCTGCTTCGGCACAGGGAGCTGGCAAGGGATCTAAGCCCTGGTATTTCTAACGAGTTCCCAGGGACCCCGCGGGGAGGACCGCCGAGCTAGCCTGCTGCCCCTCAGCCCTTCACGCATGGAAATTCCAGAGCCGCCGCTGTGGAGGATAACTTCCCGCTGGGACAAGTGGAAGGGAAGGGGCTCAGTCCTTGACTGCTGTTGAGGTGGAATCTAGAGCAGTACACACATCTGGACTGTTTTTGTAATAGTTGGTGTTGCTTAAGACAAATCAGAAAACCTCCTGAAGCTGCCGCCCTGTGCTGGGCCCTCCATGTGGCCCGGGGCATCCACAGGACACGCCCCCGGGGAGTGTAAATACCCATCCCCCTGCCTCAGCCACTGCTCAGGACAGATCTCAGCCCCCACTGCCGTCCACTGTCCCTTCTCCTTGTTCTGGTCACCTCTGTCCTGCAACCCGTGCACCCCCAGCTCAGGCTCCCAGTACTGCCGTGGAGCCTCCTGGCTGTGACAGGTAGTTTGGGGGAGGTCCCCAGCTGGACTCCCCAGCTCTGTCAGAGACGACCTGGAGTTTGCCCTGGACACTACTCCCTACCCCACCGCAGGGTCCACCCTCACTGCACACCCCTACCTCCGCCCAGGCAGGTCCCTCCCTTTGCTTCCTCCTCCATCCACCCGAGTCACTCCCCCGCTGAAGGACAATCCGTTTCCAACACTGTTTGGATTTTTACCTCCCAAAGCAGAAGAGGCCAAATATTGGCTCCCTTTTCCTACTCCTTTTGATACCATTATTTCCTTTTCATGTCTCGTCTCAGGGGAGAAATTATTCTCCTCTCAGTTAGGGAAGCGATCGCAACTCCAGAATGGAGTTGCCCCACTCGCGAGCTTTGGGACCAATGCCTCCCTCCTGCGCGGTCTCTCCCAACGCCCTGGGCTCCCTCCACAAAAACTGGGTCCGTTGCACTGAGAGGAGCCTCTTCTAAGGCGCGGGGAGCAGAGATGCACTTCAAACGCTGGGCTTTTCCTGCCACCTTGTGGCCATGTCTGGGCACTACAAATAACCTCTGTTCCTTGAAATGTTATACTGGTCTGGTTTTTTGGTTTGGGGAGGTTTTTGTGTGTGTTTGTGGAGGCTTTGGGAGGGTAAGATGTAATTAACACATAACGTTCAATTAGTTTCAGGTGTACAGCACAATGATTTGATATTCCTTTACATTTCAAAATAATTCACAGTAAGATCACAATAAGCCTAGTTACCATCCATCTTCACACAGTTGCAATTTTTTTCTTGTGCACTTTTAAGATCTACTTTTCTTGGCCACTTTCAAATATATACTATGTTATTAACTACAGTAACCACTCTGTACTTATTTTATTCTCCGCAACTTTTGTCTGTATGTTTGTCTGACTTACTTCACTCAGCATAACAAACAGGGGTGGTCTGCTCCCCCGGCCTCAGCCCAGACTTCCCTCTTCATGGCTCCCCGGAACCCACTCCCACCCCGGCTTGGTGAGGTCTCCGCTGCCCGGCGCACACAGCCCCCGCGCCAACGCGAGCCCCTCCCTCCACACGCTGTGCCACGCCGTTCACTTCCCCGCCTCCACGATCAGACTGCGCGCTGTCTGAAGACGGGCCTGCTCCTCTGTGTCTCCCGGGCCGAGCACAGGAAAGTCCTCGGAATGTAAGTGCAAGGGAGGGAGGGAAGGAGGGGGGAGAGGGGAGGGAAGGGAGGAGAGTGATGATGATTCGGGGTAATAATATACTTAACGGGCAACCCCCGCCCGCCCCGCCACACACACACTTCCTGAGCACACACGCGGCGCAGGCACTGTGATCGCCGTTACTATCCCAGGGTATCAGCACCAACATCCGCCTCAAGGGTCCTGGCCTCATCCAGTGACTGAAAGGCTAAGGCCGGGCCTATCGGGGTCCCCTGGACCCTGGGCCTTCACGTCACCCATGGGCAACATCAGGACTTCATCTTCCAGTCTCCAGATAGAAGTCCATCACCCAAATCTGTCCAATTCCCCCAAACTGAATAGTTTAGTCCCACCGTACCACCCAGTCATTTTTGACGGGGTGGAGTGTCGATAAGAATTCTTTTTTTCCTTCCTAAAAGCCACTCGATGTTTTCCCTCAAGTATTTGCTACAAACAGATCTAGTAGCTGGGTGCCATTTGACTTCTTTCCAGAGTATTGCACTAAGCCACGATTTTTTGCTTTTTTTGTTTTTCAGAATCAGCCCCACTTAATTGGTTTGCCACTAATTACTTTTTTCCTACATAGCTAGTTGTCCCCTCTTGTCTTCACTTCTCTTTTACTAATAAGCTTTCAAGTGACAACCCAGTCACACCATTGAGAAGCTGTGGGCTCCACTCAACAGAGAAGATCCCCTCTGCTCTCTATGAAGGGACGAAGTGCCCCGGGTTTCACTCTGGCTTCATGGTTTAAGGGTCCCCTCCCACCCTGCATCTGGCGATGATGGTAGGGACACCAGCGTGGCCGGTGACCTTCCCGCGTGTCCCTGTGCCTGACTTCTGCTCCGGGGACAGAGGAAGATGGGACCTAGAAGCACACTCGTCACCCTCACGGGGCCGTGGATGAAATATTTATTTATTCTGGAAATGGGGATGCCAGGTCGGAGGGCAGCAACGATGGGGCCCACGGGGAGTCGGGGCGTTGCGACACCGTCTCTAACCTGTGAGCACGTAAGGCTCTTCCGTCACCATGTGTTACTACAGTTCTAGGAAAATCGTTTCTAAGGACCAATCCCCAAGGGTTAACGCCTCCCAAAAAGGCAGAGTTTAGACAAAGCCCTGTAAATACAAAAGTCCCACTTTCAAGCCTACGCGTGAAGCTGGACTACGGCGGGATCCACACGCAGGACGCGATGGACCCTACGTGAACAAGGCAGCAACCGGGAATCCGGGCAGTTCTCACACCGGGACTCCAAAGGAAAGCGACTTTTCATAAAGGAGAGGAGGCAGGTGTGCATTCCCTCTTTTTCAGATGGGAGAGCTGAGGCCCAGAGAGTGGAGGTGAAATCACCGAAGGGAAGGCTGGCTAGGAGGGAGGGTGCTGGAGACACAAGGCCATCATGCCCTGGCTGGTACGACTCAGCGGGCTGGGCACCGGCCTTGCAGACCGAAAGGGCGTGTGAGAAACAACCCCTTCATGTATCTCTCACACGGTGACGTTTTTCTCCCTCTCTCTCTCCTTCCCTTCCTGTCTCTCTAACATAAATAAATAAAACCTTTAAAAAAAAAAGGCATCAATTTTGATTTCTGGTCCCACCATCTCTCCACTGGTGCCCAGACAGTTGGGGGAGCATCTCCTCTGCCCCCCATGCCAATCTCTGGTACGTCCACCTCCTTTCCAGGATCCGGTTTTCATTAACTTGATGTGTAACTTGCTGATCACACAGGCCCAGGAAACCCTGAGAGGCTTCTGACTCCTGCCCTCCCATTAGGATGGAGACCCATGGGCAAAGGAGCCAAGTGGCATCGAGGGGGAGCTGCGCGGCCCTGGCAAGCGTCCCTGTGCCGACAGAAAACCGTTCCATCTGTCTGAGCTTCCAAATGTCCCCTGACTCAGGGAAGCCCCGGGAGCCGGCTCACACATCCACTCTGGGTGGCAAGAATGCTGTGGTGCGTAGGGACCTTGACAATGACAAGCATTTCACACCCTCTTCTCACTCTGACTTCAGAAGAAGCCCGCCCCACCCGCCGCGGCGCACTCGGGATTCCCCTGCCCAGCAATTCGCAAGCTCAGACGCGTGCAGGCTTCCCATGAGGACGTGCTGCCAGGCAGAGTCTGGCTCGGCAGGCCTGGGGCTCTGCATCTCTCACGAGCCCTCAGGCGATGTCTTTTCTGCCCCCAGAACCACACTTGGAATGGCAAAGCTCAGAACAGTCCACTAAACCAGTGGTTCTAAGGATGAAACAGGCAAGAGCAAGGACGAGCCCCCCACGACGGGGCTCGAACGGCCGCTGAAGATGTGTTTCCCTGACACCCGGCAGGATCGCAGGAGGGCACCAGCCTCCGAAGGAGCCCCGGAAAGGAGTGAAAGATCTACTCACGGGAGAAGCGGGCAAGTGGTCGGGCAGGCTTGTCTCCAGCTTCGTTGGCAACTGGCAAAAGAGAAAGACAGAGGGTGCGATGAGAACAAGGCACGTGTGTGACCAACATCTGCCAGCATCCAGCTCATGCTCTGGACGCTTTGACAGGAAGCTATGTTTGAGAGTCTTTGTAAGAGAACAAAAGCAACTTTATTTCTGCTCTTTCTGTATTTCCAGTGCTGCTCTCAGTGCCTCCGTGAGATTGAATATCTTAACCAATTTGATCGGGATGTCTGAATAAGGCTGGCACGGACCTTACAACATCAGGCTCACGGAGCCTGGAGGAATTCGCTGGCTGGTGTCCACTTGGCAAGAGTCGTGCAGCCCCGGCTTCCGAGCCACAGTATGTCTGTCCTTCCATCCCCCGCGTCCTCTCATTGGGCTGCCGCTCAGCACACGACCGTACCCCCACCACCTGCCAGAAGTCCGATTTGCTCGGACCAGTAGGGGCAAAGCCAAGGTAGGGATGTCAGAAGATAACAAGGCTGGTTTTCCTCAAGAAGGACATTTAAATTTAGACACTATCAAGCAAGGGGCTTCAAACTAGGGGCACGAAGGAAGTTTTTCAGAGAACTACGTGAGAAAACCTTACCCCTAAAGCTTCTCATCAGGACAGAACCTCCTCGGAAAAGCTGCATAGTGATCAAGGCAACAGGTCGTTACCAATAACCCCTGTGTTTTTAAACACCATCTTTGTCATTAAAAGAAAAGAGGTCAATTATTGCCCTGGCCACTGTGGCTCAGTTGGTTGGAGTGTTGCCCCGTGGACCAAAGGGTTGTGGGTTCGATTCCCAGTCAGGGCACATGGCCAGGTTATGGGTTCGATCCCCAGTTATGGCACACACAAGAAGGCAACCAATCAATGCTTCTCTCTCACATCAATGGCGCTCGCTCTCTCTCTCTCTCTCTCTCTCTCTCTCCCACTCCCTCCCTAAAGGCAATAAAAAAAAAGTCCTTGGGTAAGGATATAAAAGAGGTAAATTATCAAGTAGGAACACAGAACTCCCTCACTTCAGATACCACTTTTAATGCCCATACGGATTATACCTCGGTTGTTTTGTATATACATAGTCAAAAAGCATACAGATATTTGCGAGCAGCTTGAATGAACACCCAGAGCAATCAGCTAGAAAAACCTGGTCATTTTAGTTCAGAGAAAAACATTCAGTGCAGACGCAGAATAGGAAAGATTGCTAATGCAATCACGGAGGTAGGCGAGGTCGCAGCGGCAGAACGAAGGAAATAACTACTTCATAAACATATGCCATCATTTTGCAAAGAATGGAAGGAGTCAGAAAATTCCTTTGGCCCTTCTTTAATTACTACATGTTTACTAAATGAAGGCATTTCTTTGCACTGCCCCCGCTCCACTCTATTACAAATGCGATGTTACATAAAATGGGCAGCAGGGGGAGATGATCGTGCACCCTGCTCCCTGCTCCCTCACAGCCCAGCAATTCAGAAAGAGAGAGGGACCGAGTGAGAGGGAGGGGGAGGGAGGAGCGAGCCCCAGTCAGGCTCAGGCGCGTGTTTGCCGGCCTTGAGCTCAAAGTGTTTCCTCTTCAGACACCACAGATCTCTGAAGGAGGACATACAAAGCAAGGATCTTTCCAAAACGTTTCCCACAGAAACGGGTGGGCTACTTGTAAAGTAGGGTTACAGAGGTGACTGCGGTCACTGAGAGCACCAGCCACCGCTAAACCGTTCTGCTTGCAGAGCCACGCCTTCCCTGCGGGGAGAAAAGGTGCGGTGACCTTACTGCCCCTGTTAGACGAGCTGCAAATGCTGCAATGGCTGCCGACACGCTCCTCTCCCCGTCCCCATCGGGGGCGGGAACGGCTGACCCAGATCCCAGTCGCGCCAGGAGGGGCTGGCATCCAGACCCAGGCCAGCGGAGACACCAAGAGAGTTGTCTCTGCCCAGGGGGAACGTGAACCCTGCTACCAGCTTCACATTCCTAGACGCAGATCCCATGCCACATTCCCTGTTACAAGATACAGCTTTCTTGGCCAGGTATCGAACACCTGGCCCTACCTATTCCTCTTCTCAGCTCACCAGATTGCCCAGGGCATCTTTGTCACATGCTCTAAACTGGGAATTCCCAACTGTTCCTGACACACTCACACTCCTGCCGCCTTTCCCCCAGCCACGCCTCCCGCTGCTTCACTGGCCAATCCCCACTCATCCCTCAAGATCCAAGTGGAACCACTCATTTCTTCAAAGCTCCCCCTGCACGCCCACCGCACCTTCGCGACCTCTGCCCCTCCATCTCACTCCCCTGCCTGACCAGTGGTTCTCAAGCTGCAGCGGCACCAGAGCCGCAAGGAAGGTGTGTGCAAATAGACTGCAGGGTTCACTGCAGTGCAGATTCTGATTCGGTGGGTCTGGGGTGAGGCCCAAGATTTTGCATTTCTGCCAAGCATCCCGGTGATCAACTGAGGATGCTGGGCTGGGGAACTTCAAAAGTCCTGGCGCCCAGACCACACCCCAGACCAATTAGGCAGGGTCTGGGGCTGGGGGATGGGCCCGAAGCATCAGTCCTTCTTCAACTCTCTGGTGTTTCCAAAGAGCAGCCAAGACTCAGAAGCAGGAACAAATGGTGTAACTTCACACGCCTTAATCAAAGCAATATTCAGGGAGGAAGGTGAGACTTGGGTTCCTTGAAAAACAATTACCCTACTCAGTTCTTCTTTTCATTCCTTTTGTCATTAAACTCCTGACAGAGCCCTGACTGGTGTGGCTCAGCTAGTTGGGCATCACCCCTGCAAAGAAAAAGGTCACCAATTCCAGTCCCGGTCAGGGCACAGCCTTGGGTTACTGGTTCGGTCCCCAGTCAGGACACATGCGAGAGGCCGCTGATCGATGTTTCTCTTGCACATCAATGTTTCTCTCCCCCTCTTTCTCCCTCCCTCCCCCTCTCTCTAAGAATAAATAAATAAAATCTTTTCCAAAATAACCAGTTCTGAACAAAAACATGACTCTAATCAAAATTCAACCATTAAGACTGCAAACAGCCCTGGCCAGGTGGCTCAGCTGGTTGGAGCATCATCCCACCCACCAAAAGGCTGTGGCTTTGGTTCCTGGTTGGGGAGCGTATGGGAGGCAACTGATGGTTATTTCTCTCTCACATCAATGTTTCTCTCTCTCTCTCTCTCTCTCCCTCCCTCCCTCCCTCCCTCCCTCCAATGAATATATGCTCAGGTGAGGATTTAAAAAAAGCAAGACTACAAACCCAACTACAGGGACCAAATAGTGGGCAGCTGCGCACATTGTGGGTGAAGGGTTTTATATAAAAGACCCCTGCGCATTGCCATTGCCTTCGATACGTGTACTGAGGGCCACCTGGGAGCTCGGTGCTGGGCTAGACGCTGCAAGGACAGAAGCAACAGGTTTCACTCGGCCTTGACATACGAGCAAGTTAGGGAGGGAAGCCGCGCAGTTGAAGTTTATTCAAGTATGATCAGCTATGGAACCGACTTGAAGATGATGATGATGATGATGATGATGATGATGATGATGATGTGGATTCCCTGGTCCCATCCCTGATCCACTAAATCAGAGTCTCTGCACGTGGGGACAGGATCTTAGGTTTTCATCAACTGCCTCAGAAGCCACCTTCCTCTCTGAGAAGCAGCGCTCTCAATGGGGTGTTCCCCTGGTATGTGTGCTGTCTGTTCCCCGCCCACCCCCAAATGGCCAGAAACACATCTCGAGATAAGGGCTTGCCGTGGGGGGCAGGGGGGCAGGTGAGACAGGAAGTTCACTCAAAGCCATGGGCATCCCGACCCCAGGCAAAGACGGCGGCTCTGATGTCCCAGCTAAGCCACAAACCCTGCAGGCCATCAGAACAGGACAGGGGACAGTGGTCCAAACAGCCGTGGGTGGTGGCCCGAGCAGGTGCGCACTGCTTTGTAACCAAAAGGAGCACCCAAACCACTGCCACCCTTGTTTTGGAAGCCCAGGCACCTGGGCGAGTGTAAACGCAGCTGGGAGGCGGGGAGCCAGGGCAAAGCGAGGTGAGCGAGCTGGGGCGGGGCGGGGCCTGGCTTCCTGCGAGGGGCCTGCGCCTCGCTGCCCACTGCGGGGCCACAGCCCCTGGGACCCCCCAGGTGAGGTCCTCTGGTGCCTGGCCGCTGGGAAGCCAGGCCCAAGGGGCTCCCAGAGAAGAAAAACGCCGGGGAAGGAGGTGGCAGCATCTTCCTCGTTACTGCAGAAGGCACAGCTCAGGGCGGCTCACGGGGGTTGGGCCTCACCTCGCCCTGCCCTCACCTGGCCGAGGCCGGAGCCAGGAGCCAACGCAAGGAGAAGGGGATGAACTGCTGCGGGGACAGAGCCCTGGCCCAAGGCCATCATTAACTATCTGTGCTGAGCTGTCACCTCCCACGCAAGGCCTTCCACAACCGCCCCCCCACCCCCGATCTGACAAAAATATCTCTAGGCCTTTGCCCACAAAAGTAAAACCCATTCTATCACTGCCAGAAGAAGAGAATGTGTGTTTTATTTTAAATAAGCCTCAGCAAGCCAGTGCTTAACCACATTCCTTTCCACGCTGCTCCTCAGGCTAAACCAAACCTCCGCCTTCTCAAGCAAGACTCTCTTTCCGCTTGATTCTCCAGAGACATACAGGGCGCCCGAGAGCCACCTTCTGGGCTACGCACTCAGAAGCGACCCACAGGGACTGCTGTTCTCCTGCAGGCTGCCATCCTGTGCATAAAGGCCACTTGGGGACGCTGTGAAGTGCTGTTTCAGTCGGCCTGGGTGGGGCCTGGGATTCTGCATTTCAAACAGGCGCCTGGGTGACGCCAGCGGAGTGGCCCCGGAGCCACGCTCGGCAGAGCAAGCTGGCCGAGGACGCCCACCACTCAGAAAAGCAGCAGCGAGCACGCTGTTTAAGAGCTCACCGGACAGCCACCGGGTGATTTTTGAATGTGCATGCTGTGGATTTTCAAGTCCAGTTCCTTCGGTTTTTTTTTAGCAATTTTGTGCAAAAGAACGGTTAACAGCAGGACTTT